TTTAACCTGATATTAGTATTTTCTTTCGTTGTTATGTATACTGGTCCTTTAATCTTAATTTAGGCCTAACAATAACAGCATAATTTGTTATCAACTCAAATAATATCTCATTACCCACGTCTTCCACCTGAAATACAGGTTTATAATATTTACATAGATCTCATCAAAATAATAATAGTAGTTGGAGAACTATGTTTAATTCTCATATTGTTTCTTTATATAAATGTATTTTTATTGTCTGTCCCCAATAAACATCATATATGCTACCTCTTGTAAAGTTGTCTTTCTCTGGCTGATGGATGCGTGGGCTAGCAAAAGGCCTGCCTTTTGCCTGGCGATAAGTACAACTAATTCTAGAGCGTATTCATGTTTCTAAAGGAATGTATAGAATTGACCCATCTTCATACCTTGTGGTTCACAAAGGAGTCAACTAAATTTATATGAAATGGCACAACGATTCTATCGATCAAAATTGCTAGCAGGAGTACTGTGTATCATCAATCTTTGAAGATAATCTTGCTAGTACAGCCAGTGATTTCCGGTATTCATTTTACAACAGTAAAGAAATTCTGCCTTTGAACGATATTACCTTGACCAGAACTCCAGCACTCTTAAATCTGTGATGGACTAGAAGGCCTTAGTCTGATATTTCTCCCAACTCAAACGTGCCGTATCCATATATTTCTGAATCAGCGGTAGGAATATCTTGTAACTAGATAACCTCCATGTACGATATTGTTCGGCACTTTTCTGAAGAATTTTAGCATACTGTTTAAAATTGCATAAACCCTAAACATTTTGTCATGCACATTTTACTTTTTACATGAGTTGTGCTTAAGTGAAAAGGAATTAAATTCGGATGCATATATGTATATATGCTTATATATATATATATATATTTATATATTTACTCAAGTTAATTTTAACGTCTTATATGTTGTAAGCTATTAGTTTGGCTTATATATTCGTTTAAATTACCATTTTCGCATTTAATTAAACAAAACTTGCTTAAATACTTTGTTAAATAATTAGGTTAGCAGAGAGAGGCATAGCTACTAATGCTTTTTTATCAAATAACAAGGAAATTACTTCATTTCCTTTGCGACTTAATTTAGCACATTTCTAGGCTTATTTGATTCGAATTTGACTAGATCTATTCTATCTCTCACCGAAATTGATTTTACTAGAAATTAACCAATGGTAAACCATATTCTTCTGCTTTAATAGCTCATAACCAAAATTGATGCCTTATTTGTGGTACCATACTCCATTTTCTATTAAATCTTCTACGAAAATTGTTCCTGATTGGCAAGCAGCTCTAGGGTAAGATTACTCCTATAATACTGTATAGAACGACATAAGGAAGCGATATAAGTTGTCTCTAGAGTCTAGCCTTATGTGTAACTCAAAATTAGCCTACACAATGCTAGGAATTTCTAGGTTTCGCCTAGTGATTAGTATGCAACTCTTAAGATGGCCACCTTCACAGGGAGGATTTCAAAGTAGAAAAATAGGATACAAATCAGGATTTTACCGAGGTTCTATATTTAGATATAATTGAGCATGTCTCTTCTAAATTTTAATGACAAAATGCGTCATTTAATCTATAATGTTGCCAAAATATCGCAGAAATGAAGTTTGGAGTAGAGAAATGAATGAAAAGATTATTTAAACGTAAGCTCGCCCTATTATATAATCCAGGAAGCCCAATTCCTATAGTTGTTTAATTGTCTCCCTTTTAATTTGTCTTTAAATATATGGTAACCAAATATAATTTAAGTAACATTTTTATTAATGCAGTAAGCTAAAATAAATTAATTTTTGGAAATGTTTATCTTTAAAATAAATGCATGTATCTATTGAAGAGTGTTTCTCTAACTGGTTGCAGCCCTTTTTTAAATAAAAATTTGGGCAGATGACAGTTAGCCAGTTCTGGACTCATTCTATTACAGGAAACTACCAACTTTTTAATTTATAATTTAGTGTGTCATAATAGGGTAAAAATAAACCTATGTACAGATCTCTATTCTGAGTTTATTTGTTTACATAAATCAACCAGCTTGTTGAGTCATGCTGCACGCACAAATACACTCTGCTTTTTACAAAAGTTTTTTACCAGCAAAAGATTTAAGAATTTCTTCCGTTGATCGCTGTGCGTTAGTAATGCACTCAAAATCGCTAGAATGTTACACTTGCGCTTGACTGATTTCCTCTGAATAGTTAAACACCGTATATTGCAAAATGCTCAGATAGGCTTATTATTTTTATCATATAAATATAATTTCTATTCAATTTATTAAATAATTTTTCACTTAATATTTACTTTTACTTCTGCGTCAAATTTATTTAAATACCAAATGCATTAGCACCTTTTTAATGTTCTGTGTTTCTTGCTTTCCAAAACCCCCCAAATGTAGCAGCCTTTGTATATGCTCCAAATTGAAATCAGTGACCTTGGCCACCCTACCTTGACTACCGTGACAAACTTGATCGTTCAAATAATTGATGTCAATGACAATGCACCCTCATTCATACATTCTGACACACCGTCAGTCCTCAACCTCATTTCTGGAACTCTGCAGACTACTGCTTACGATTATAGTGATCATGATACTATAAACTCTGAGCAAGATGATTATGACCATTTGTCGGCGACAAGGAGTGATGCTAGTAAAGAGCACAAAGTTTCCCAGCTGCCACTAAAAGGGGTTCCGAATGGGTGGTGGGCCGATGGAGTTGTGCAAATTCAAAAAGAATACCATTTTCTGATGATGGCCTTAAGTTTGGAAGATGCGGTCCAGAGCCTGAGGGAAGAAGTTAAGAAGGAGACACGAAAGCCAGGCTCGGAAAGTTCTAGAGGCAGTGGTCCGAAGCACGCGGAAAGAAAAGAGAGACAGGAGATGCCTCCACTAAATTCAACTTTGAATGAAGCTCACGGCTCCTGGAGCTGGTTGTCAAACGACGCTGCCAAAAATTGGTGGCGCGAACAAATGAGCCCATGTTTTTCTGGGGCTGTTGAAGGGACTGTCGAAGTATCTATCTTGAAGGGTCTTGGACCATGGACGGAAAATACTCGTTTGGTAGGCTGTGTGAAAGCCACCGATTTGGACAAAGGTATGTAAATATAAAATTTATCCAGTTTTTACTATTGGAGCTATATTTAGCTCAAAGTTTTAATATCCAGTTAGAGAAAATTAACAAAAGTGGCCTTAACTAATTTTCACAGATGGTCTCTTAAGGATAATTCAATCTACGCTATTTGAAATTTAAGCTAATGTAATACACGCTCTTCTTCGCTGCTTTCAGCTTTACAACTTCTTAAAGTTACTTTTTTCATATTTTTCTCGCACCGTTTGAATTTACGCTGTCAAGAAACTAAGTTATGTAGACTTTTTTATTATATTGCTAGTGATGAAGAAATTAATTCCCTGACTTATACACTTTCTATATTCATAAATGTGCACTTTAAGATATATAGTTTAAAAGACCTATTAAACTTAAACACAAACTTTCAAAAAAGGAGGGGATGGTAGGGAGGCAAGTATTTGCTCAGAACTACAGGCATCGAATGTAAAATGACTCCTGTCGCCAGGTTGATCAATTGTGTCAATGCTTCATTTTTAGTTGTGCTGTTTCTAGAATATTTTCCCCTTTCTTCGACAATCTTCACAATTTAACGCTTCTTTCAACGTAATTATTAAACTTTAACCAATATTGTGCCCACAATTTTACCTTTTTGAACTTTCATGCTGATACACTGAAGGAAATGTTAGTTATGCTGTGTGTTGCTTCTGGTTTGTACCTTCTTCACTTCTTCGGGTATCCATCGTAATCCAAAGGAGCTTGATTGTCTTGCGTCCTTTCGTACAAGCCCTTTATCGACGACTTGTTGATTTCATTGGTAAATTTTTCTCTTGCTGAGCATGCCTTGTACACCTTACCCGATCTCCGTGGTTTGCCCATTATTTAGGAGCATTTTAGACATTTTCTTTTATGATATTTTATATTAATCGCACCGTCTTAAATATGTGCTTAGGTACTGGTATTTGATCTATTCAATTTTAAATGTGCAGTTAAGTGCAGTTATGACTTATTCTAGGCCTCGTCAGCACCTCTAGTAATAGTTTTACTCATATCGACGCTAGGCCTCTCTTTATCCGAATATTAATTACTATAACCTAAACCAAAAATATCGAATTCAAATTTCACAAAGAGTGGAAGGATGAAGGCAAAATTGCCGTCAACTCTGAATAAGAAATCGTCTTAGGGCCAAAAAGTTAAGTCAATTGTTTTATTGTCATATGGACTATTAGGGACATTTGGAAGTTATCATGATCCGAATTTGCAAGTTATGTACTGTTTATTCTTTAGTTGATACAAAGCTTTGGTTGATTCTCACCGTAACTGAAAAATGTATACCTTCAGTATACGCCAATTGCAAAGTTTCTCATTTTAAGATGGATATCTACGATTGAATGCAGTCTTCCAGCTTTGTACATCAATCCTCTCTCTAGCTCCCAGTGCTGATTTATCATTGGGCTGTTTCATCATCTGATCCAAGAGACCTGCAAAATAGTATTAATTCCCTTTTGTTTTATAACAATTTCAAAAGAGGATAACTAGTACACTGTTTCTAGCCCTTGATTTGCAATCATCAACAGGATTTGCGTCTTTTGGACAGGTCTTAAGTCCCTTATCTTTCCTAGATTATATCGAATAAATTAATAATTATTTTAAAAATTAGATGCGCAACCCTATTTTACGGAAGAAGACAAGTCAATTTCAAACATTTCAAACATTAATTACTTATAAAATTAGCTATGATTTAAAAAATGGAAGATGTCAGTAATGCAAGTTGCCGTTATGAAAGTAGCAAGGTACCATAGAAGCTGGCAGAACTGACTCCTAATCGGTGAATAATACCGTTAGCCTTTTTTTTAATGCAAATGAATCCCTTCTTAAAACAATATAGTATTTTTTCAATAAATGAGCTTGTTCACTAAGACAGTTATTTCGATGGTTACGGAGCTAATTTTATTGCAGGTCACCCTTTTAGTTCTCATACACAACAAAAGCCAATCGTTTCTATTCTGGTAGTTTCAGACAACTTTTTTTACGTAAAGAAAAAGTTGTGAATACCTTTCTTGCTTATGTGCTTTAAAATTCTGGTGGCTAAAAAGTCTTTCAACCATTAATCAATCGGTACTAGCGATTTTTAAGGTCGTTCATGGTCCGATTCCCGCTTGGTGTGTTTATAAGATCTCTACGAGGTCGAAACTGCAGTCCACCTTGGATGAGGACACCTTTTGGGAAAACAAGGCTATGTGAAATTGAATGGAAACGTCAGCTATACTCATATCTTTGTGGGAAAAATCAACTACCAGTCCTTCATCACCTTAAATGGAATAGGGTGAATACAACTCATATAGCATTCTCTATGCTTTGAATAAACCATTTAAGCGGTTCTATTTCTTTGTCCTCTGGGTTTCTAACATGCAGTAGAAACAGATCTTAGCGCCAGATAGATGTTTTCTTACCTGTCTTGGTAATAATTTATAAATAAC